CACACACACACACACACAAAACAACATGGTCACACCTCCACACACAAACAACACACATACACATAGAGCACACAACCAGGGGTAGAGCTCAACTGACACGTTGTCAAAATGTGTTAAAATTTCGAGGCCCGCTGGCGTGGCAACTGCAAGCTGGGGACAACATATGGTCTCGTAGACAAGGCAGCCCCCCCAACCCACCCCCACCAAAAAAAAAAGAAAAAATCCCAGCATCACCCGTCGCCCGACTCCCTCACATCACCTAATCCCCCCATTCTTCTTCCTCCAAAAACATGCTCTCACCTAAACTAGAGCCAAGACAAAAACTGTACAAGCTGAACGGCAGCAGCTCCCATTATTTCTGAACAATTTAGTGGTGGTTGTGCCAAAGCTGCAGGGACGCAATGAGAAACGTTACAGTCACTGGTGCAACATACGCCCAGCCAGTCACACTGTAGTGGTGTTAGGAGCACGAGGGCCTTCTCATGTACAGAATTTGTCACTTTTTAGTGAGGGACAACCCTCATATCAACATTTTAGCAGGCGCCCCAGTGGTTAAAGGAAATGTATGGAGCATTCATGAATTACCAGATGATTTTAAATGTTTATAGTGTGATCTGTGGAGATAATAGGACTTGGCCAGAGCAGGACTGAGAGGTAATTAGGAGAGTATAACCATATGTCAGAAGGTCTGGTGCCTCCCTACAAGAGGGACGGTGAGGATGGTGCAAACTTCTTTTTTGCGGGACAGTGCACATCATGAGCCCTGGCGCTATGTGCCGTGGCATCTGGAAAGCTCCGCTCACAGCAGCCCCTGTGTCGAGCGACGGGACGACGCTCAGCCAACCATGAGATATCTGAACTGACCAATTAGCAGGAGGCCTGGTGCCAGAGCTTCCACCTCAGAGGTCCCCCACCTCCCTGTCAGGGGCTGTGGCCCCCTGGACAGCATGAGAGCACCTCCTCTGTCCATGATGAGTGGTTCTAAACTGTGGCAGTGGGGATGATTGTTCCACACTGACACAACCCCACTGAATCTTCTGACTGAGTCCTGCTTTCTTTTTCCTCTTGGCTCATGTGGTAAATCAGCATCAGTCACATCATCAGGTCGATCAAAGCCGAAAACAAAAAATTACAGGATTTGCTTCATTGCAAGTGTTTGCTTGAATCAAAGAGGCTGTAACTACGACAGACAGGAACAACATTATTATTGAATATTATGATTAATGTGTACATTGCTGCCAAATAAGCATGCAGAGGGTTTTTACAACATTCAGGTTGGATCAAGTATTTTTAACAATAACATATAAACAATATCGTCACCGAAAAAAGAAAAGAAAATGAAAAAGTGTGTGACATCTGGGACTTTGCTCTCTGAAACAGTTTTTTTTAGTATGACATAGTCTTCTTCGACACATCTCCAATAGATCCATGTTCATTAGATAACAGAGGATTTATTAGCAACCTCGAAAATATGGTGCCTGTTAAACGAAAGCACTATAAGCTTCAATAATGTTGTCATTCAGTAGAGGGGTATCACTGGAAACAGGTTAAGGCCTATTCAGTTGACTGTAATTTTAGATGCTGAGTATCAATTACTGAATCAAGAGACTTTAAAATATAAGAACATGGAAAATGTAATTTGGAGGAACAGAGTAAATTCATTTCTTGAAACATCTGAATTGCCATTTGCTGATTTTTTTTCAAAACTTTAATTAGATTAATAATTCACTCTTCATGAATTAAAAACAGGTTCGACACAACTCTGATTATCCCACAGACCAACTGATACTGTTTATGTCATGAGCAGGAAAAAAACTTTCAGAATCTCATTAAACCGCACTGGTGATATTCATGAACATGCTTCATCACAGGCATCTCAGAAACTCGACCTTTTCTAAATGTGACAACTCCTTCATATCTTTAAATGTTTGGATGATTTGATTTTCTATTTGTCATTATTAGTAAATTTATACATTTATCCTTTATTATTCCTTTTTTCATTATTACCTATTTAAAATAATGGCATTTTTATTCTGTCATTTGTTAGCCTGACCCCTTAGCAGCCCACAGGACATAATACACAGCCATCAGTGCTGTAATCTAAAGACGCGTTATGCAAATTCCTGTCTGACAATGTGATGTTTAGGGTTGGGTAGATTGTCAGTGGATTTAGATTCGGCTGCACGGTTCAGTGGACAGGTGCACCAGACAGCAGATCGGCCGTCAGATCAGAGCTGTGACTGACGCTGCACTTGACCTGCAGATCTGTATCTGATACACAGCCTCTGTTGGGGTGTATGTGGGTTCAGCAAAGGATCCAGGTTAACCTGATCCAGAAACAGGATCTGTCTCTCTGCTTGTCCGGCAGACCAGCAGTGTACGTTTGCCCGACTGCGAAAGGTCAGCCCTGAAGTCAAGACAGGAACAATAAGAGAGGAGGTGTGTGTTTGTGTGTGTGTGTGTGTGTGTGTGTGTACTTCTTTAGGACTCTTTCCATTATTGACACTGATCTTGTCAGGGCCAGAATCTGTTTGCTCAGGCCCATCATGGGGACCCGTCTTCCTTATGGGGACGGAGAGAAAAACTCTACAATGTAAATCATTGAATTTTAAAGTGAAGACATGTTTTCAGTTTAGGTTGAGGTCTGGGTTTAGGTTTAGGTTTAGGTTTAGATTTGGGTTAGACAAGTAACATTATGTTGAGGGTTACATTAAGTCTCCAGGGAATCAATGTAAGTCAGTGTTAATGTACGCTGAAGTCATTAAAACATGACAGTATGTGTGTGTGTGTGTGTGTG